CACGCACCAGTCAAGCAAAGGAAAGTGAAACTGCGTCCCTATGCTCCTTGGTACAACCATGAAATCCGGAAGGCTAAACAAGCTCTTCGTGCAAGGGAAAGGCGGTGGAAAAAGACCAGGTGCTCATCTACAACAGTAGTATCTGACGACCTGAAGAAAGCAACGAGAGAATATAACCAGCTAGTCAATAGGTTCAGGAGTCAGCATCTCCACGAACTCATATCCACTAGCAACAGCAAACAACTGTTCAATGTGATTGACAGGATGACAGCTGAAAAGCCTTCTAAATCACTGCCCTCATATCAGTCCGATCACTCAGAAGTTCTCAAAGTTTTTTGACAATAAAATTCATCTATTGAGATCTTCATTTTCTTCGTCTTCCAACATCGCTGAAGTGGAAGTCAGTGACCATCATCTTGATAAGTTTGCGCCAGTTTCCCAAGCAGATGTACTGAAGATCATCAAGTCACATAAAATGAAATCATGTGACTTAGATCCCCTACCAGCACCCATTCTTAGCCAATGTATAGAGCTTCTGGTTCCGGCCATCACGGACATAACCAACGACTCGCTGGAATGTGGAGTTTTCCCTTCAGCACTCAAGTCTGCTTTGATTCATCCCACCCTCAAACGACCATCTTTGGATGCAGAAAATTTGAGAAACTTTAGACCAATCTCAAATTTGCCATTTTTGGGCAAGGTAGTAGAACGAGTAGTCTCAAATCAATTTACTGAATACCTTACTGCAAATTCCCTTCTCGCATCTCGACAGTCTGCCTATCGTAAAAATCACAGCGTGGAAACTGCGTTACTTCGAGTCCAAGACGATATACTTCGTGCTTTGGATACTGGAGATGATGCGATTCTCATACTGTTAGACTTAACATCAGCTTTCGACACTGTCGATCACCGTGTTCTTATATCCAGGTTGGAAACACGTTTTGGCGTCTCTGGAACTGCTGCCAAGTGGTTTAAATCTTACATCACTGGACGATACCAACAAGTGATCATCGATGGCTCACGATCCGATCCTACTCTGCTTAGGTGTGGGGTGCCACAAGGCTCCGTCGTCGGCCCTGTACTTTTTACATGTTATTCGACACCCTTAGAGGACATCATTCATTCCCACGGTTTCTCCTCGATGATATATGCCGACGACACCCAACTATATATTACTGTTAAGTCTGGACAAATTCTTCAAATGTTGCAGAAACTGGAAGATTGTCTACATGCCATTCGCTCCTGGTTGACTGAAAACTTTCTTCTCTTGAACGACAACAAGATGGAAGTGCTCCACCTGTTTTCTCACCGAAGAAGAAATACAATAGAACTCCCTCCGATTCAAATAACAAATGGTTCTGTAAATTCCTCCAAAACAGTTGTTAACTTAGGTGTCACGTTTGATCAAAACCTTTCAATGCGCCCCCATGTAAATAGTATCTGTCGTAAAGCATCCTTCGCCCTGAGAAAAATTGGTAAAATTCGTAAATTCCTTTCCAAGTCATCCACTGAAATCCTCGTCCACGCATTTATCAGTTTACTCCTTGACAGTTGTAATAGCTTGCTCCATGGAATTCCGGAAAAAGATATGGCCAAGCTGCAAAGAATCCAGAACTCTGCAGCACGTCTAGTGTCTCTCACCAAAAAACATGACCATATTACACCAACCCTTAAACAATTGCATTGGCTCCCCATTCAATTTCGCGTCCAGTTCAAAGTTCTTCTTTTAACCTTCAAGTCTCTTCATGGTCATGCCCCAAATTATCTTTCTGAACTGATTCAATTATACACACCCAATAGGCCCCTTCGTTCTGCAAATCAAACTCTCTTGACCGTTAAAAAAGCAAAAACAAAATATTTTGGTGATAGGTCCTTTTCATGCTCTGCTCCACGTCTGTGGAATTCTCTCCCAGCCTCCACTCGTTTCATTTCTGATATTACTTTGTTTAGATCAAAATTAAAAACCTACCTAATGGAAAATGCATATTCTACCTAGCTCTTAAATTGTTACCTAGTTCTTAAATTGTTACCTAGTTCTTATATTGTTACCTTACCTTGTTATCTTATGTTTCATAATTTCACTTTCATTCATTTGTTTTCTTGTCATTACTCTGTTAAGTTTTAATTGTATCAATATTGTAAAGCGCTTTGATATAAATGTTTTATGAAAAGCGCTATATAAGTAAAAGTTATTATTATTATTATTGTTACTATAGTGTATTATTAATTAATTAATGTAGTAACATTTGTACCCATGTTAATTATTTTTCACCAAATATAATTTAAATAATATAAATAATAATCTTCTCAGTTATGATTTGTTCTCATTAAAAAGTTAAGGTGTCGTTATTGATTCAATATTTTTCTTCCAATTAAAGCTTTGTGCATGAAACTTGTACAACTTCAACTGGTACGTCACATTTTTAAGAAAATGGCTGCGCCCATGTCATGCTGAAAGGCATCACATCATGCCAGGAATATCTTCATTTATATATCTCTTGTACATTTTCGTAAGGAATATTGTACATCAAAGGGCAGGAATAAATCTCATTTTTCAGAATACCTACACTTACTCCTTTGATATGCAGGACAGCGACATCGACATTTTTTTTTTACAAGTTGCGCATGCGCACTTTTCACCCAAAAAGCGGAATGAGCAAACCCCTTTTAATATCCCCCTTCTCAAAAATCAGACGTCGTAATCTTTCTTTCTTGATACCTTCCACAGCGCCCGGCATGACATAGACACTAATACTACTGGACTAGCTGAGGTCATTGATTTCCTACATAGCCATCAGGGTAAGATTTTATCCTCCATATTTGTACTTATTCTTCATTCCAATATCCACTCATTTGCCCAAGTTTTGTTCAAGGCCATGTCCAAACTGACATTATGTGTGTATGTGTGTGTGCGTATGCGTGTGTGTGTGTGTGTGTGCGTGTGTTACGAACAACTAATTTTGACTCGTTTGTAAAAACCCAACGTGTAATGTGGGTGAAAAGACTATTGTACGGAGAAAAATCAATGAGCTGGAAGCTATACTTTGATTTCTGCTTCAAGATGGTAAGAGGTAGATTTATTTTCGTGTGTAACTATGATTCCAAGTTATTAAGTTCTAAAGTATCTAAGTTCTTTTTAGGAATGATAAAAGCATGGGAAGAGTTAGAAGGTTGCAGGAATTCTGAAGACAAGAATAATCCAATTATTTTAACAATTAACAATAAAACATTCTTATTATAAAAAAGAAAATGATTTTTGATGAGGATTTGTTTAAATGCAATATAATTTCAGTTCAAGATATTTTTGCTGAAATTGGCATGCGGTCAATATCTCATTTTCAACATTTGGGAATACAAGGAAACAATGGAATACTTGGAAAGCTATTTTGAGACGCGGAACAAAAGGATAACTGGAGTTTAGTGGTTGTAAAAGAGCATAATATTTTAATGCAGTTTAAAGAGATAGTTGACTTCTGATGCAGAGTTTTTGTGAGATAATGAACAATTTAGTGTCAAATTTGAAAGAACATACAGTTTAAATGACAAAATCATCTTTGTTTGATCAAAATTGGTTCAGAGACGGCTGAAATATCCGAATATAACGAATTATAATACTTGTGTACCACTACAAATATTAGATAATTTGAAAAAGCCGTTGAAAAAACGAAATAGCGCCTTTACGTCGTATTTCAGCCAATGCCGATGTTGGCTTTTTTTTGTTGGCATTTTTTTGTTGGTTATATTACGCACCAGCCTGCCCATGTATTGTTATTTTTAAATTGAATAATTGATTAACGGTCACTGTATTTGTGGTGTGAGTGTGTCGTACGTCGCATGGTGTGGGGGGGGGGGGGGGGGGCTAGTAGTGTGTTTGGTTGGATGGGGTTATTTGTTTAATTTTACCACTGATTTCATTTTTTTGGTTCATCAATCGTACAAACTATTGGAGATGTATTGAATCATGTCATGATGAAAAATAACTGTAATTCTAAGAAAGATTTGTATTGTTTTGGAATCAATACAAAAAAATAAATATATATTGACAAAAAGTGTGTGCGCGTATGCGGTGTATGTGTGAATATTACGAACTTACGAAGACAAAAATAACTACGTTGCCTCTGGAGCAGATAGATTACGACCGAGACGTTCTTTTAAAAATCAATCTTTATGAGGCAATTTCAATAGTCTTCTGTGCTACCTTTAGAAATGTGCAAAAAATGTCATCATCATGACATAATCCTTCTATGATCCATGGCTGTGATGCTAAAGGTTATTGAAATCGCCCTTGATTTGATTTCTTGAAAATCGTTATGATTGTGTAGACCATTGAAGAGAAGAATTCATATTAATAATTGGGTTAACACCTTACAAGCGTATTTCGTGAAGGCGAAGTATCAATTACATGCCCATGAGAAAATTGATTCAGCTTGCTTGACATGCACCTCCCTCTGCGCTCTTGGAAGAATCTGATTACGCCACTGGTTCCCCCTCCATCATCACCCAAAAGATAAGATGAAAAAGCCTTTCCTTGCTAAGCATTTCATTAAAAAAGAGAATATTGACTGAATTCTTCTTTAGCATACCGATTAAGTTTCGTTTCGTTTATCTTATTTTAACACGGTGGCATACTAAAGCGAAATATAGGCAGGGGATAATCGGATAAAAAAAAACTAATTCCGGATCGAAGCATCATTTTTCATGAGACAATATTCATTGATTTTAATCAATTTTGTTAAGTATGTGATATTATCTATAATGCTAACATTTTAACATCTGTTCTCTGGTAAATTCACTCCTGTCTCTTGGGAAAACTAGGACGCTACCCGGTGGCTATCATAACTCATGTTGATGTCGCAGAAAAGAACCACGTGGAGGATCTCAAGATTGTCCTGCGGGTCTCTGGAGTAAGCGACATTTTCGAAGTGGCAAACCTGACCACCGAGAAGAAATTACTAGAGGAGCCCTACCAGCACAGTCTGCTCTCTCTCCTAGATCGATGCATGACGGATGGAGATGAGACTTTCATCTTCAAGCATCACCAGCGCCAGGAACAACAGCGCAAGAAGGGGAACGAGGGAAAGCGGGTGGAGAAGAAACGTGAGCAAGAGGAGGAGAGACGTAAGCAAGAGGACGAGATACGTATGCAAGAGGACGAGATACGTACGCAAGAGGAGGAGAGACGTAAGCAAGAGGAGGAGAGACGTAAGCAAGAGGAGGAGAGACGTAAGCAAGAGGACGAGATACGTACGCAAGAGGACGAGATACGTACGCAAGAGGAGGAGAGACGTAAGCAAGAGGAGGAGAGACGTAAGCAAGAGGACGAGATACGTATGCAAGAGGACGAGATACGTACGCAAGAGGACGAGATACGTATGCAAGAGGACGAGATACGTACGCAAGAGGAGGAGAGACGTAAGCAAGAGGAGGAGAGACGTAAGCAAGAGGAGGAGAGACGTAAGCAAGAGGAGGAGAGACGTAAGCAAGAGGAGAACAAACGTAAGCAAGATGAGTGGCGGATAGCAGCAGAATGTCGACAAATGCTTGAGAGAGGGAGCACTGAGAGAGAGAATCAGATAAGAAGGGAATTGGAGGAGCAAAAACGTATGGTTAAGCGGGGATATGAACGGGCTGAGCAGCTGGAGAGAGACAGGCGGGAGCGAGAGAGGGATCAGCGCTATGATGAAGCCATTAAAAGGGCTGAGGTGGAAAAGCATGCGGAGATCCGCCGAATCATGGAAGCTAATAAGAACAACGAAAGTGGTTGTGAAATAATGTAATAAAAGCATATGAAGGGGTGACCAAAGTTCGCGGAGATTTTGACAATATTATAAAATTTGATATTCGATCTATGATTTCTCATATTCTACACAAATTTATTTATTTAAATTATTACCAAATGGACGGCAAAGTTTTGTTCACTACAAATTGGTTCAACTAAAAAATTTATCTTCAAAGGATCCCGGAGATATCGGGATCTTAAAATTCGATTTCGGTTCGGCGTGCGCGCTGCATAAAAAGTCGTAAAAACAACGAGACCTTATTTCGCGCACGGGGGTTTACAGCTGATTTATCAAAAAAATGCGATCCATCAAAAATAAGGTAATATCATAAATTGTAAGGCAAGATATCATACAACCAGTTGTTACCACTTTTTACTTACGATTTTGAGGGTATCTGCTATCAAAATGAAGATATCGAGACCCTTATCGGCAATTTTATAATTTTTCGGAACGGACGCAAATAACTGCAAATTTGCCGATCTTTTGTCAATATTTTCACAATTTCGCACCCAATTTCAAAGACAATTTCTTTTCTGGGTAATTTTATGATCCTCTTTCCATTGGTGATATCAGATTTTCGAAATCCTACCAGTTTTTTTTGGGGAAAGCGAACTTTGGTCAAGCGCGAACTTTGGTCACACCACCATACATGGAATATAATGCCAGTTTTGAGAGAGACGTTAAGGGCTTTTCGTTTGTGTAGACGAGCAAGCGCGTAGCCGGGATTTCATTTTAGGGGGTAGGGCGGTGTAGTGAGCACGCGAAGCGTGCAAATCACTTAAAGAGCGCGCGTATCGCGCACCCTAGGGTGTGGGTGCAGGGAGGGGGAGTTTCCCCCCTCCCCCGCGAAGCGCGGAAGCTTTGAAAGAAGACGATTCGTTGTACCTTTCTCGACTCATAATCCTTGTCTGAATTCAGTCCGCCCCTCCTGGGCATAGCGCGGAAGCTTTGACGTATTATTAGACAAAGAAGACGATTCGTTGTACCTTTCTCGACCCTTAATCCTTATCTGTATTCAGTCCCCCTCACACGCGAAGCGCGGAAGTTTTGACGTTTAATTAATTTATTAGAGAAAGAAGACGATTCGATGTGACGTTCTCGACTCCTTTCCCTTTTTTTTTCTACGTCCTCTTACTTTTTTCTTCTCTTTCTCTCTGTTTTTTTTTTTTTGGGGGGGGGGGGGGGCGACCACCCCTACCGCCCCCTGGCTACGCGCCTATAGACGGGGACAGCGTTCCCGTCCTCTAACGATGCGAATTGGCGTCAGACACCCGTCCTGTTGACTAGTTATAACCCTTTTCGTTTTCAGTCGACGCCCGTTCTCTACGCGATGACGGAATGGCCCCCGCGCGCGTTTATTCAATTTCTCTTTCTGTCTTTCCTTATGTTATTCTTTGTTTCTTCCTTCTATCACCTTCTCTATATGTCTTTCCTAATGTTAATCTTAGTTTCTTCCTTCTATCACCTTCTCTTATGTTATTGTTTTTTTTTTATCATGCTATTACTTTCTCACCTGTCTTTCTTTATGTTATTCTTTGTTTTTTCCTTCTATCACCTCTTCTTATGTAATTCTTTGTTTTTATCGTTCTATCATTTTTCCTACCATTCCTTATGTTATTCTTTGTTTCTCCATCTCTATCTGTCCATTATCTATTATTTGTCATTTTTTTTCTGTCTTTCCTTATGTTATTCTTTGTTCCTTCCCTCTGTCACCTTCTTTTTCTGTCTTTCCTTATGTTGTTGTTTGTTTTTTCCTTCTATCACTTTCTCTTTATGTCTTTCTTTTTGTTATTCTTTGTTTCTTTATTCTATCACCTTCTCTTATGTTGTTCTATGTTTTAATCATTCCATCACCTTCTCTTTCTGTAATTCTATCTCTTCTATCTTTCCATTATCTATTATTTGTCATTTTTTCTTTCTGTCTTTCCCTATGTTATTCTTTGTTCCTTCCCTCTATCACCTTCTTTTTCTGTCTTTCCTTATGTTGTTCTTTGTTTCTTCCTTCTATCACTTTCTCTTTATGTCTTTCCTTTTGTTATTCTTTGTTTCTTTATTCTGTCACCTTCTCTTATGCTATTCTTTGTTTGTATCGTTCTATCATTTTCTTCCTACCATTCCTTATGTTATTCTTTGTTTCTTCCTTCTATCACCTTCTCTTTCTGTCTTTCCTTATGTTGTTCTTTGTTTCTCCCTTCTATTACTTTCTCTTTATGTCTTTCCTCGTGTTAATATTTGTTTCTTCCTTCTATCACCTTCTCTTTCTGTCTTTCCATATGTTATTCTTTGTTTCTTCCTTCTATCGCCTTCTCTTATGTTATTCTTTGTTTTTATCGTTCTATCATTTTCTTCCTACCATTCCTTATTTTATTTTTTAATTTTTTTTAATAAGAATATCACTTTCTCTTTCTGTCTTCTCTTTTTGATTTATGCGGCGATATAGCAAGATGACGTCATTTTGACGACGGGGTTCGAGTTTTCTGACGAAACTCAAATCGTGGATGAACGCGTTCTCAAATTTGGCCTGACGACGTTACACGACCCGACGCATGCGCAAACCGCCGAAATGACGTCACATCTTTTACGTCGTCTATATGGACATGACAAACGAAAACTTGTAAGAACTCCCTTTCCACTCTGTTATATTTCGATAGCTAATTATAAATCATGCCTGGACAAATTAAGCTGACTCACGTTAATTGTCCATGTTTATGTTGCCGGAAAGAAGTGAAAGATTATCACAATGCATTATTATGTGTACATTGTAACACCCGGGCTCATCTGAGATGTTAACGTGTATCTACTAATACGTTTAACTCTAATGCCAATTGGATGTGTAATTTTTGTATTCTTAAAGAACCTCCTCGATACGTCGATGAACCTGATATTTGTTCTCAAAATTCGGATGCGTGTAACTATGAAAGTTTCGATAAATGTTTTGAAAAGCTGAATTCACTCTCTGGTATTAATATTTGCCATTTAAATGTTAGCTCTCTGATGAAGAATTTTGAAGAGATTCGTAATATTTTAACCACATCTAACATGCATATTTTTTTCTTTATATGAAACGCGATTAGATGGTTTTATTTCTAACCCTGAAATATCCATATCAGGTTATAAAATTGTGAGATTAGATAGAAATAAAAATGGTGGTGGAATTATAACTTTTATTAAAGACACCGTACCATTTAGTATACAAAATGAATTCTTTGTTGATGGTTTGGAACTAATGTGCTTGGAGATCTGCTTACCAAAGCAAAAACACTTCTCAATAGTTTATTGGTACAGACCACCAAATTCCCTAAATGCACACTTTGAGAAATTTGAAACTTTGTTACAACTCTTAGAGTCATCCTCTAAAGAATTTATTATCTTTGGGGATCTCAATTGTGATTTATTAAAAAGGCCTATGTCAAGTCAAACGAAAACTCTGAAGCGTTTAAGTGAAGAATATATTGCATCATGTTTGAATGATCATTTTGTAGATTTACCATCTAAACGGAAGGGAACCAAAATATTTGGTGGTAATATGGATCAGTATATTATGACTCAAGTAAACTCAAAATTTAAGTTTAAAGAGATAACAGATAATGAGGTTTTGAAATGTATTCATGATATTGTAAGGAATAAGGCCACTGGCCTCGATCAAATACCAGCCAGTTTCGTAAAAGATTATATAGAATACATTGTTAAACCGCTAACTCATATCATCAGTGCCTCATTAAGAAAGGGGAAATTTCCTGGTGCCTGGAAAAGGGCCCGGGTGACGCCTATTCACAAAGGTGGTGATAGAACTAATCCCTGCAACTATAGGCCAATATCGGTCTAACCTGTGTTATCTAAAGTGCTGGAAAAAACTTGTGTTTAATCAAGTGTATGATTACCTTTCAAAGAATTAACTATTATGGCATAACCAACACGGCTTCCGCCGGAAACATTCGACTTTGACTGCACTCTTATCTCTCACAGAAGATGTTTGTAAAAAATTAGACAATGGGTATGTAGTAGGTATTGCAACGCTGGACTTGGAAAAGGCGTTTGATTTTGTTTCGTTTAAGATTTTGCTTGAAGAGCTAAGATATTATGGTTTTGATCAAAATTCAATATGTTGGTTTCAGGATTATTTCCAGGATAGGGAACAATGCACTTTGGTAGATGGTAACATGTCACAGAGCAGAAAAGTAACAAGCCGAGTGCCCCAAGGAAGTATCCTTGGGCCATTGATGTTTATTATCACTCTGAATGATTTATATAAAACGATCAACAAATGTTCCCTTTCTCTGTATGCTGATGACAATTGCATGTATTTTGCATCAAAAGATCCAAAGATATTAGAGACAGTAATCAATGGTGACTTGAAATCAGCTACGACATGGTTTTCAAATAATGAATTGTTGCTTGACGTTGACAAATGTCAGGTCATGTTAACTGGTTCAAAGTCAAATTTTAGTCGTTTCTGTTATGTTGATATTCGTCTGAATAACACAAAATTACTTAGAATAATGGAATGCAAATATCTTGGGATTTTGCTTGATTGCAATTTCACATGGAACCCACAAATAGACCATGTAAAGAAAAAGGTTTTAAAGACGTATTTGCTCTAAAGCGAATGAGACAATTCACAAATGAAAAGAGAGCATTAATACTGTACAAAACCTTAATTCAGCCTCATTTCTCTTATTGCAGCACGATTTGGATGAACGGTAGAGAACTCGGTTAAAACAACTTCAAACTCTACAAAATAGGTGTTTGAGATCTGTACTTGGAGTGAATAGTAGATATCACACTGAAATTCTTTATAAAACCCTTGAAATTGACATGCTAAAAGAATACTGGGTCAAACAGGCTTTAGTTACTATATTTGAGTTGTTACATAATGTTGGTCCACCTGTTTTATCGTCATTGATCCAATTTAATACTAATATAGGCTATATGTTCCGTTATGCAAATTCACGAATCCCCCTTCCAAGACCTCACACAAATTTTCTTCAACATAGTCCATTATACCACGAATCAAAAGTTGTTAATACCCTACCCAACAATATCAGAATTACAAATGTTTTTAAATCTTAGAACATTGAGATTAGTAAAATTCAAGATATTTGCTCACTTCTTTCATCTCGTAGATAATTTTTTCCTTCTCACTTTGTCACTATTATTCTATTTTGTACCTAAATTTCTGTAAATATGTTCACTTATTATAACTTGCATATTTGTTTGTAAATTGTATTTTCATTGTTTTATATTCATTCAGCTTTTGCTGAATGCGGGCACATTATTGTATTTTGTTTTTAACCGTGGATAAATAAAGTATGCCATACCATACCATACCAATAGCATCGCGATGCGAATCACGAAGATTAGTGAAATTATTATTTCCACACACGCAATTTTTTTTTTTGGATCGTGATGCAAAAATCTACTTTTTAAATCTTACTTTTTTTCCGTAGGTGTAAACGCCCCTTTAGTCTCTAGGCACACACACTAAGTTCACACTTTATCCAAAATCCTAAACCTTCGGGCAGAGCATAGCTCCGTTAGTTTCTGGCTTAAAGGTATTACAAAGTTTTGGTATGGGGACATGAATTTGGTTCAAATTAACATATTGGAAGTATATGGGTTCTTACAATATTCATTGATCGTTGTCGCGGTTGAAATCGAGTCTAAAGTTTTTAAATTATAAATAATAAACTCTTTATGTTGTATAGCTCCTATATAGCTCTATCTATGAAACAATGTTTCTTAATTAAAATCGACCGATTAGCTATTCCCGTTTGGAAATTATAATTCACAACTACATATTCTGAGATTCTCATGGTCGTAGCTAGCATTGTACGGCCATAGGCATTATTCGAAATTTATCAAAATTTACCGGGAGCACCGGTAAATTGTTATATTCAATTTTTCTCGAAAACAGAAGTGTTTTAGGGGCTAATTTTGTTAGTGCTTATAATACATCCACAGGGGCATCCAAATATATACAAATTGTAAGGATTCATTATCCATCCATTTTTCAAAATGTCTCAAAACTTTGTATTACCTTTAAAGACAGGGCATATTGTAGTCTCATAATGCAAACAATTTTATGCAAAACGACTGACAAGAGTTTGTGCCAGCAAACTAGTCTTTGCAGGGAGGGGAAGGTCATTCCAAGGTAAGACCAGGTTGTCCCCAATATTATTGCAAGTCAAAATAAGCTGCGGATAAACACATTGTTTATGAAAAGCTTGTATATAATCATATCGGGATTATACTTCTTACACATGTATTTGATATCAATATTTAACAGGAAGATTATTCTCAATGGATTTCTCTGTTTTCACTGTTTATTATTTTTGTTTGTTCATATGTTGATTGTCTATTTGACTCGTAACTCATATTATATCTTATAGTGAATGTATCCTTACGTGTTTTCAAATGTATTTTGTAAATTTTGGGCAATCCAGCCATTGGTTGCCATTCACAAATTATCACAATTAACAAATTATTAAATAAATAAATAATGGAATAAGTATTATATTATATGTATGTAATATCAAAGTAACATATCGAGCTTCCTGGCGACCTTTTTTGTAACTTTTTTTTGTATATGTATTTCACATTACTCATTTGCTGTGATGAGAGCCATCAATTTTTTTTTGTACGCATGCATACATATTATCATAATGAAAAATTGATAAAATGTTGTATAAATGATAAAAGTAGAAGTTCACTCAGATCTATCAAGAACACTATCTGTTGTTTGTGTAATCAGTTGTAATACCCTGTCTGCATTATTTGGAAAAAAGGAATGGACAGTGTTAAGAATTAGGTGCTCAGAAGTTTCCATAAGGACCAGGATGATAATGATGATGATATTTATAATGATGATAATAGTGATGATGATGATTAGGATGATGATAAAGATGATAATGATTATGATGATGATGATGATGATGATGATGATGATTATAATGATGATAATAGTGGTGATAATTAGGATGATGATAAAGACGATAATGATTATGATGATGATGATGATTATAATGATGATAATAGTGACGATGATTAGGATGATGATAATGATGATAATGATGATGATGGTGGTGATGATGATGATAGTGATGATGATGATGATGATAAACATGACAATGATAATGATTATAATGTTAATGATTATGATGATAATGATGACGATGATGATGATAATGATGGTGGTGGTGATGAATATGATGATGATAACAATAAAAATGATGATGATAATGATAATGATGACGATGGTAATGATAATGATGATGATGGTGATGATAATAAGGATGATCATATTCATGATAACAATAATAACAATAATAATAATAATAATAATAATAATAATAATTATGATGATGATAATGACCTGCGTGTCGCATGTGACCTTGTATGACCCCTTATACCTGCAAATTATGACATGCCGTCCTTGTCCTCCTAAAATCAAGAATATTTGTATGCACTAGTCTTGTATAGTTACAGACCCCGGGTAGAATACTTTTCGCACATGCATGTAAAATGCCACTCTTGAGACCAACAAAAAAGAATGGACCTGTGAATACACTGCTGCACTAGTTTAAAGGCCGGCTGGGGGTAAGAGTATTTTTTTTGGTCCCGAAAATTTGAAAATTTGGTAGACCGATATTTCGTTCAGTTGGGGGGGGGGGGGGTAAGGTCACCCTTCTTCCAAAACACACACATAAAAAAATTGAGGGGGGGTTCGACCCCCAAACGCCCCTCCCCTCCCCCCTGCGTACGCGCCTGGGCACATGGCACCAAAACGACCCCTCTTCGAGGATAGCTCGACGTCGGCTTTCGAAAGTCAGTTAGCATGGAGCAAACTGCGGAAAACTTAGTGAGATGAAGAGATATACACTGTTGGTCATAATGGTGGAATAATTATTTATTTATTAGGACCATGCATTATAGTTCAAGGCATGGCCACGCAGAGGATTTGGGGTAATCGGGGCGAAATGCTACGAATTATTGATAATTTATTGCATTATCTTATTTTTTCGGTATTTGTGGGGGAGGCCCGGTATCCTGGCCCTGCTGCGTACAGTCACGATTACTGTCAGTTATGACTTAAGGACCGTAGTCCCCTAGTTGATTAGCATAGTAGCACTCACATGCTTAAGCAGTAACGCAAAGCAAACACTCACACATTATCATTCAAGAAAATCTGAGAATGTATACTATTATCTAGATCTATTAGAAATAAATCATTCCATAAATTGGGGTAAATTTCAACAACTTTGTGGATTAAAAAAAAAAAAAAAAAAAAAAAATCGCTAAATGTTTTTGTTTTGTTTTGTTGCGTAAACGGGTGGCTAAGTTTTACCGTGATCCGAGCATAGGGAACTTGGTGAACATCGCCCTCGTGCGTCTGATCCTATTAGAAGATCAACAGGTGAATCATGGCTGGAATTCATTCTTTTTAAGAGAGAGAGAGAGAGGGAAAATTTATTCACACCCATCTTCGTAATCTGTATCCTTATTCTATTTTCTTCCTCTTTTTTTATTTTTTGACATATTGAAAAATATTTTAAAAAATAAATGACGATCTAGAATCCTATTGTCAGTCGGTTTGATGAATTAATGTGATTACCATGACCTTTGCAAACTTTCTATCGTTTGCTGTATTATGTTTCATTTGTTTGTATTGCATGCATTATGTTTATCTTGTTTTATTGTAAATGTCTATTTCAACTTCAACTCAGCAGTCAGTTCTCAGTTTAGACATTTAATATCATATACATTACTTATTTCATTATAGGACGACCTGGAGATCTCTAACAACGCAGACGACACATTGAATAGCTTCTGCGCATGGCAAGACACATTGAACCCGGAAGGGGATGAGCAACAAAATCACCATGACAACGCAATACTTCTTACCAGGTGAGCTCAATCCCATTCAGGCTAATAAGTATGGATAAATCAAAAGCAAAAATTAGTAAATTACACATCCGACTATTTCTCTCAATTTCCAATCCTCTCTTCTTTTTGTTCTCTCTCTTTCTCTCTCCCTATATAATATATACATTTAGTGATTCTCTTTTAGTGATTCTGTTTATGTTTCTTACATTTTACTGTTTCCTGTCTCATTCTTTTTCCTTTTGTCTATTTACCCTCTTCTGATCGTGAATGAAACATAACAAAATTCAATTATCATCCGAATAGTTTCAAGTAGGCCCAACTAGAGACTACACACAACTTCAAATTCATATTCATTTTCGAATAGTGATTTTATTCGGTTTTATATGTAATTTAGAAATAAGGTTAAATGGTTGAATGTTACATTAATAATTATTGGATTTTCTTTGAAGGAAGGACCTGTGCCGTGGTTCTGATATCTGCTTCACGTTAGGGTTGGCCCACGTGTCTGGAATGTGTAATAGGTAGCGAAGCTGTAGCATCAACGAAGACAACGGCCTTGCTGTTGGGATCACAGTGGCGCACGAGATGGGACACAAGTAAGAATAAGTGTCAGTGTCATATCTAGCCGAATGACTGCCGGGGCAAACAATACATTTGGACCCCCTGCTCAAATTTATCAATTCAAAATATGAAACAGTCGGGAAGCAAAGCAATGTCATTTATTTGTTTTGAAATTTGAACCCGTTAAAACCCCAATTTATGGAGTACCAAATAACAAGATCAAGAAGAAACCCATGCGAGAGAGTAACGTGACCAAACTTCAGAAATTGTTGGCATATGAGACTTTAACAAAGTATTATAACGCGTTTCGGCACTGACTGGGGGTGCATATATTCTTTAAAGACCCTACATTTTAATGGTTTTCTTTCCCTTTCTCTGTCTCTCTTTATCTATTTTATGCGCCTTTCAAGTACCACCCTGGGCACTTCCCCCGCCTCTGCACTCCCTAAATACACCTCGGGTTAAAACCATCTTACACTGTACGAAATCGCAATATCATCAAATATTAAAAACGTAGGCATGTTAACTATTCCTAATTTCAACTTGATATTTTGCATAATTTCAGTCTGCAGGTAATTAGTTTTTGAGGGAGATGCCTCAATGATTAAGATCACGGTTCTAACAAAAGTATATGCTATCGACTGTGATGATTATGTAATCAGTATTTTGTCGTTACGGTAAAATAAAATAAAAACTTCCCAACAACGTGTTATGGTTTGCCCTCATATAGCTTTGGCATGCAGCACGACGGAATTGATAACCCATGCTCATTTGACGATGACCCGAGTGGCCCATATGTGATGTCTTCACGGGTTCCTAGTGGTCTTACACCCACAGCATGGTCCTCCTGCAGCAGAGAATACATCACTCGTTTCCTAGAGTAAGTACAAATATGGCGGCAGCGGTTGGATCATGGGGGCCATTTTGGCTTCGATATTTTGAATCACATCAAATCAATTATGGACAGCGGTCCATTATTGTGACGTCTTCCCGGGTTCCAAGTGGTCTTACGCCAATTACATGGTTTACTGTACCAGTGAGTAAATTTCAGCAAGAATAAAATTATAATGGTGGCAGCAGTGGGATTTGAGGCCATTCGGGCTTAACATTGCTCATATGATATGATATGATATGATATAATCATTCTTAATGTATTGGAGGTAATCTTACACCCACTTCATGGTTTACCGATACCAGAGAGTACAGCAGAGTATAATTATGGTTGGAGCGATGGAAATGTAAGGCCTGTTCAAATATGATGTCCTCATGAATTTCTAGTGGTCTCACATTCACCACATGATCTACCAGCAGCATAGAGAAGATCATTGCTATTTAGAGTATATTGGCGACAGCGGTGTGATGGAAGGAAAGTCGGACTCTGAACGGCTTGACAGAAGTACCCTTTTTCTTTAAAAGTATGAATATACGATTTAGAGATTGCTTTACCTAAAAATTCCCAATATTTAAAACAAAGCTATGGCATTTAGAATACCAAATTACTCACATTTCTTACAAAAAGATGATTTTGTTAATAAGTAATTGGAATTTGTTCTGAATCATGTCGTGAAAATTCAATATTATTTGCACGTACAATTGATTATGATTTCTGCAGTAGTGGACGGGGTAGCTGCCTGGAGGATATGCCATCATCAACACCTTACAAATATCCGAAGGTTCTACCGGGTGTCATGTACTCGGCAGACCACCAATGTCGTCTACAGTACGGACCGAATGCAACTGCCAGTCCCATGTTTGAAGTAAGAATCTTTGCAATTATCTTTACTTTAATCACAAAGACGAGGAAAAATTTCAACTACCACTCTGTGATGGATAAATAAGAGGAGCTAGGCAGACAAATAATCAAGAAGTCGATCGGTTTTGGAATATTTGAAAAAATTGGGCAGGGATTATAAAAAATAAATCTTTAGCTTTTTGTCAAGTATTTTAGCGAGAAATTCCAATGTATTGGATAATGTTTAAAATTGAGTTCATGAGCATGACTACAGCATTTTCCATTGATTTAATACCCCAACAATCTTAAGCGTTTATTTCTACTTTAAATCATGTCTCTCCTTTTATTTGAAATCTTTCTTTTCCTTCTTCACTAATTCTCTCCTCACTTCATTCCTTTCTTTGTCTATCTGTATCTATCTTTTAACTTTCCCTCTTTATTTTCCAACTTTCATTTTCATCTCTTTCTATAAACTCTAATTGCTTATACTCCATCACTCCACTCCGCTGAGTCCAGTCTGATCTCTGTACTACCCTGTGGTGTAGCGTAGGAGTCATGAGGAGATCACGCATGACAGCAGCTGCACAGGGCTCTCGGTGTGGGAAAGACAAGGTTAGTACCGTTAAAAAAAAAAATAAAGGGTCACCTTCAAACATCTAGTGGTGTAATCTCACACAATAAGGCCCGAAGTCACAAAGGAAGGTTGTCGTAGGGGGTAGTTGTCGTAGGGGGAGTTGTCCAGAGGGTATTCATCCTAGAGGGTGGTTGTCCTAGGGGATAGTTGACTGGGGGTGGTTATCCGGGGGATTGATGTCCAGGGGTAGGTGCCCTAGAACCCCTAGCTAGACATTTAATAGGGGCCTCCAGAAATGTCTAAGCCATGGGGAGCTTAGAACAGTTTCTCCACGGGCTGTCAGATATTACGGCTTGAGGCCCCGTTGATAAGTGTTCTGAGGGCCGGTTATAGGTTGAGTTGGCCTGGTTACAACGGAATTCTCCAACCGAATTTCAGTTCCAGTCCGTCCCTGCATGAATGCTTCATTAATTGTAATATACTTTGGATCCATAATGCTATGCTAGATCTTGCAATAACTAATGCAAATTTATAAAACAAAGGTGAGGTCAGTAGATGTAGGGTCGTCCCCCAAAATTGATAAAGAGTGTAAGAACAATATGATTTTAAAAATTGAACACTCTAGTACATGTCACATTCACAAACAGTCTCGACCGATTTGATCCTGAAATCCCTACCTCGACCTGCCGTCATAGTTACAAATGCTTGGTTTGGCTTGTTTTGTTCACGGCCTAAAAACATTCCATTCACAAATATAGACATAAACGAATATTTATATAAAAAGAATATGACTGAATTGCTTTCTTCAAAGTCATTAATGCAATGGCCTAGATCCTGTCAGGGCCAATGACATTATGTATGATTGTTGTTAAAGATATCTCTTCTTTTATTGTGTTCAGTGGTGTATATCTGGAGAGTGTATCGACATCGATGAACATCCCGTGGTCATCGATGGCGGATGGGGTCCATGGAGCGAGTACTCTGAGTGTTCCCTGACGTGTGGACGGGCCGTCAAGTCTAAAGAGAGACACTGTAACAACCCAAGGTATTCTTTTCTGACTTTTCGGATTGCCATCTCCATTATCTTATAAGATTTTGAAGTACATGTATTACGGTTTATAGCTTCGAAAGAAATATCACGATGGAGAAGAGGTGGTCAAAATTCATGTGCTCTTGACAGAGCTCCAATGATTGATGTACAATCTTTCTATGTGCAACCTGCTGAAGATTATAATGCAGCTACACAATTTTAGATATCGCTGGGTTATGGTCGTAATCTGATCAGTGGTCGTAGCTTAGATCGTAACATGGGCTTACTATACTTCGTGCTGTAGAGAAACTGATCGGCATACTAAAATACAGCTCCAATGGGTGTTTTGAACGAAATCTTCGTCCAGGGCGCCTAGGGGATAATGACCATGTCATATTCCTGCGGATCGGTGTTCCTTCACTATTAAACACAACTGCGGCGACAGCCAGCGAGTCCCCAGACGAATCATTCCGGGTAAAGTTTTACGAATACCAACTCAGAGAAATTAATCTTTTTTTGTTTTACCATTGCTCCTGTAGTCCATCTCATGGAGGAAGATACTGTGTTGGTGAGAGAAAGAAGTATACCATGTGTAAGCTTCAGGTACGTATAGTATTAACTTAAATCGACTAATTTTGAAAAACAACTATAGATGGAAGCATGACAAAATATAGGGTTCAGAAACATCGATTTACGTACCTTGGTCCTAGATAAGACGTTCATTCATTCAGGCAGTAATGTAATCAATCGGTGCAGAGAAGGGCAAGTCTGAGGTTTTGGTCATTTGTTGCCCTGTACGTCACCAAGTGCTATAAAGTTCTGAACATAATTATACTGACTTCAAATGTATCTGGTCTGATTGAAGCTCTAGTATTGCTATTACGACAATGATCATATGTTCTAACATCTTATATCATCTGGTCTGTGACGTACGGGACACACTATAGCTTGGACTTACACTATTATGATACAGATGGAAAATATTTATGTTATAGTTGCAATGTTTAGATATGTATCAGTGGTAGAACCAATGGGATGGAGCACCTCTCAGATGTCTCATAGTTGTGACATGAACATTTCGTATAGGGGGATTAACAATTAATAGGACCCCTGGTTGCTAATGTTCGTTTTCTATTTCTTGTTGTAATTATACATATGTTTTGTGTATTCAATGTCACTTACAAATAAAAAACACTCTTCGAAATCATGGATTTGCCGGTACGGGTACAACGGTGCCTTCACCAGTTGTCGCTCGCCTCTTTATATAATTATTACAAATATAATACACACCAAATTGTTTCATCCTTATCTCGACTTTCAAAGTAAAACATGTATGTGGCTTTGATTCCGTGAAATATAAGTCATTGTTGCTTTTATTTTTTCTAGGATTGCGTTCATGAATCTGTGAGTGTTCGTGCCATGCAGTGTAGCACCTATGATACAATCCAATCGAATGGTACTCAACTCGCATGGATTCCAGTCGATGTCGAAGGTGCGTGGCGTAGTGGTTCATTCACTTCAAAGTTGATGGTTCGAATCCTACCCCCCAGGGATGGTTTGAGACTAAAATTCGGTTGGGAAATTTTGCTGCGACCAGCCCATTCACTTTTCCTTCAAAGAAGCTTGGGGCCTACTAACTGTGTCTAATACCACAAGTCAACTGGCTATAAAACTGAGTGGCTCATGGCAAAAATTTCACCTCAAATTCCTTTCACTCATAATGGCCCCTGAACATCAGCACAATGTCCCTTGGCCAGGGTTAATCTACATTTCCATTGTTAGACAAAGGTGTAATAACATGGGGACTTTTCTTGGGAATTATAGATATTGATTTTTTTAAGGGGGGGGGGGGGTGATGTGACCGAGTGGCTTGAATCATGAAAAAAGTGTGGAGAATTCCTCCTTAAAATGTAGTAGAAGTATCTTCTACACGGAATGTATGAAAATATGTAATTTTACTTTCGCCCTTTTCTTCCTATTCTGACAGTGTGTCTTTCTGTATATATCTTTGTCTTTTCACTCTTTTCTTATAGGCTAATATAAATGATAAACAATCAATTTCTCTTGTTCTATTTTTTTTGTAGATAAACCTTGTGAATTGTTTTGCAGACGTCGTGATCAAGCATTGATAAAGAAGAAGTCAGTTCACGTGACCAATGGAACTCCATGTACTCGCTTCTCACGTGATATCTGCATTGACGGTATATGTCAGGTATGGGTTCCTTTTTTCGAAGGTTCATAGTTCCGAAAGTTCATTAATTCGAAGGTTCATATCCCCCCAAAACACAAACAAACGAGATAGGGTTCATAATACCGAAACCCTGTATCGTTTTTCGGAAATACTTACCTTCGAAATTATGAACCAAATTTAATATTCGGAAGAATGAACCTTCGGAATAATGAACCCTTGTTTATTTTCGGAATCATGAATAATAAATGGAATACATCGAACAGAAGATATAGAAAGGGGGGGGGGGTGCATCAAAGGCACTTTTCCCCGTCCTAATACATGAAAACTACTTTTACAATAATTTCATTTTATGTTAATGGAGAATATATTTAAACTTGCAGTATCTCTGTATTTAAGTATTATATGAAGCTCATATTTTGAATATAGCATAGCCATATGGAACTCCAATCATACTGAAGAACAAATATATTTTTTAGTGATTGGTACCTTTTAAATATACGCTTTCCCCCCCAGATGGTTGGTTGTGATAATGTTGTCAGCTCAGGGGCGGTGGAGGACCGATGCGGTGTATGCCGCGGGGATGGGTCATCCTGCCTTACAATTCAGGATAGTTTCAACACGAAGTATGGACGAGGTTTGTACGATTGGAACGATTCATACATCTATGTCTCATTTTTGTTATATTGCATACAATGTATGATTACCTACATTTTATTTGAACAACGCGATGGCAATTTCTTATGAAAAATAAACCTTAGACAGTTTCACTGATCTTGTACGTCGACTACATTGCAAAGACGTAATATGTAATTTGAACATGATTTCTGTGAAATATACAATAGGGCATTGAATTTGCCCCTTGATTGAATTTTTTTCTCGAATTTAGTTGCCATCGGGTTTTGGTGAGTGGGACCTAATTGTACAAAAAAAAAATGCTTGATAATTGAGAACAGCCATTTTATTAGAAGAAGACCTTAATGTATTTTATCCAAGCAATAATTTCATCACCAAAAAAAAAATAAAATAAAAAAAATCACTAAAAAATTATATCAACCCTCAATGCAAGGGTTAAGGGTTGGAATCACATACCGGCACCAACGTAAATTGGCAAGACATTTATCCACTTTTGCCACTCTCCACCCAGGTGTAAACAGGTACCTGGCAATGCTGGGGTAATAGGAATTGCAGGGTCCCACATGAAGAGCAGTATTAATAATGATGTTGCTACCCTGGGTAAATAAGACCCCAATTATAATTGTAGTTTATATTATTGTAGGTTATGTGGAAATCACCGTCATCCCTGCCGGTGCTAGGAACATCGTGTTGGATGAATTGGTCTCTTCCCAAAACTACCTGGCCATCAGCAATGCTTCAGGACATGACCTGCTAAACATGGATTGGTATATTGATTGGAGCGGAGAGTATCAGGCAGCAGGGACCATTATCAGCTACGAGAGGATAGACAACAAAGAACGAGTGGAGATCCTTGGTCCCATCAGCGAACCACTGCACATCTATGTAAATAGAGCCTTCTCTGGAATATTATATATGGGATGGCGTTTCATGATAAACGGAAGAGGTTTTCTGATTATTTACAAGCACGGATAAAAGCAATACTAAACAAGACAAACAAACTCTCACTTTTTGAAATTTGTTAAGTAGTTTTGAAATGTGCATTAACAAGACAAAAAAGAAAAGGTTTCTAGAATCATTTTTAAATAGGATACCCCATAATTAATATATGTACCCACCTGACAGGTTGAAAAGAAATATCGCTGTCGGTAAAACTGATTTTGGAGTATCAACAAAAATATTTATAATTGTATGATTCATTGGGGTAGATGTGCTGATCAACTGTTTTATAGTTTGCTTTGTCATTGAGTTTTAAAGCAATAACATTTTTTTTTGTCAGGTATTGATTTCAATAATATATACCCATTGTCCCATTAAATTGTTGAACACATCACGTACGTCGTATCAGAAAATATGTGATAATATTTTCCCCTTACCCTTTTCCAGCTCATATTTCAACGAGCTCAGAACCCTGGCATAACATACAAGTATACCATGCCGAGAGAAGGGAACCAGACTGCTGTCATGCCGCAGTTCTTCTCCTGGGTCTTTACCGATTGGTCCCCGTGTTCTGCATCCTGTGGCATTGGTTAGTTATCCTTATCCCTTGTAGCTATGTTCTGTGAAAACTTTTTAAATCTTGTTTAATTTCTTATATGTTATGTGAAAGCTTTATAGTGCTACCAGAGAGTCATCTCCCTGGTGCTACCGAACAGACAGGTTAGACAGATTCATACACAACGAAGCGAGGAGAGCTTATCAAAATTCTCGCCAACCTTGTAGACGAAAAAATTAAAAGAATCTTGCCAATGCAGTTGATTAGTTTGTGGAAAAAGGACAGAGGACAGCCGAAAAGTTTTCATCAAGTCCTTGACTCGAGCTTCTTCATCGGGAAGAGAAGAGAACATGATCATCTTTTTTGTTCATCTCAAGTAACACCTGAGGGAGTCACGCATTTTAGTCCTTAGTCCTTGTTGATTTCACGACGTTCTGGCATTGCTATCTCATTTTCATTATCTTCATAATTTGATCTGGTGAGAAATTTATTTCGTGTTCTCGATGGCATTCTTCCATAGAGGGTTTTTAGCATATAATAATAATGTGGCTCGTACAGACTTGGACCCTGTTTCATAAAACTTCTTATATGTAACAAATGTTAAACCTCAATGACGAATTTGCTCTCAGCCAATCAAATACAATGATTTCAGTAACTTACAATGTTTATTGTTCTCGTTTCTAAGTTTCAAGAAAACAGGGCCCCGGTTATTCACATTTTGGACTGACCATTGATATCACTATTAAAGCAGTAGCGACTAAGGGTCGAAATCTGGTTATCTGGTTATTGTATAGGCAAACCAAAAACCCGATCAGTAGACTAACTTGGTTTTAAATACATTGATTCACGTCGTACGATGGTCCAAACCTAACTCTTTAATTTATTGAAAAACATTATCATGGACCATCTAGAAGAAAACGATGTGCTAGTGGATACACAACATGGATTTAGAACGAAGAGATCCACCGAAACTCAACTTATCTCAACGATCGATGATGTTGCTAGAATACTTGACCGGGGTAACTCGGTACACATAGCCATCTTGGACTTTGCTAAAGCGTTCGACAAGGTTCCACATGAACGACTACTGGAAAAGCTTCACTACTACGGGATTAGACACCATACACATCGGTGGCTTAGGAATTTCTTGACATTCCGAACCCAGAGAGTGACTTGTGAAGGTAGTCCGTCATCAACAAGCAAAGTTCTATCCGGGGTGCCCCAGGGGACAGTGCTCGGGCCGTTACTGTTCCTGATGTATATCAATGACCTTCCAGCCCTGCTGAAAAGCCAGACCAGACTATTCGCAGATGACTGTTTGGTATACAAGGAATTAGAGAACGAGAGGCACACAGACTCCTTACAGGCGGATCTTACATCTCTGGAGTCGTGGCAAGATAGGTGGAACATGAAGTTCAACGCGTCCAAGTGTTCAGTGATGATTATCTCGAATAAGAAAAAACCTCTGACAAGGGATTATATCTTCTGTGGACAATACTTACAACAGACAAGCTCTCATCCTTATCTGGGAGTGGAAATAGACAGTAAACTGACGTGGGCGAACCATGTTGACAACACAGCCATGAAAGCCAACCGCACGTTAGGATTCCTCAGGAGAAACCTATGGTTTTGCCCAGGGAATGTGAAAGCCATCGCATACACGACCCTAGTGAGACCAGTGTTAGAATACGCAAGCTGTGCCTGGGACCCATACAGGATAGGGCAGATTAATAAACTGGATGCAGTTCAAAGGAGGGCGGCACGCTTCGTAACAGGAAACTACCAAAGGGACAGCAGTGTCACACAAATGCAGACCTGCCTTGAATGGGAATCACTTGAACGCAGGAGGGAAAAGAGTCGTTTGGTTATGCTGTACAAAATCTACAAGGGAAAGGTGGGCCTAAAGCAAGAGGACTACATACAAGTATCAACAGGATCAAGGTTAAGAAGAAACCACCATCACTCAATAGAAATCCCCTTTGCCAGAAAGGACGTATACAAATACTCCTTTTTTCCAAGAACTGGACGAGCATGGAATACCCTCGACCAGCAGTCTGTAATAGCTACATCAGTTGATAATTTCAGAAACCCACTCTAGCATGCATCACCTGCTATACAAGTTAGCGACATGCGGAATACCGCCCTGCTGACTCCAATTTCAGAAGGTTCAGAAGGTTATGCATTATTGTTGTAAGTTTTTTTTTTTTAAATTTTGAATGAATTTTTGTGTTTTTTATTGCGATATCAGGTTATCAGCGTTCGAGTGTGATCTGCAAAGAGTTGATAGCCGGACTGGTTGATGACCGATACTGTGAAGGCATAAAACCAGACGACATGCAGCAGACTTGCAATGAACAACAGTGCCCTGCCACGTGAGTTTGTTTTTCACCCAGTAGGATCATTCAGCAAAATCTTTCATTTTCTCCAGCCATTGAATAAAATCTGCATTCCATTTAGCGTGAAGGCGAGGCTACGCCTATGTGAGGCCCATCGGCCTATATAATGTTGCAGTCAGTAACATTTCTTGTTCCCACCATATTTTATTTGCGGATTACATTTTTAATAATCTCCAAACACTATGGATGATAAAAATTGTATGCCTTGTCTTCCTGGACAAAGTCTTGTTTTGGAAGATCAAGTTTTGAAACGTATCACTTGATTCCTTCTGTTAGTACTCAACAGGCCTCTGAGGTTTTGTGTAACAAACATACATTTCAAAATTGTACTAAAGTTATCAAAAGACATGTCCAGGTTCCCACGTAATAGTTCTTGACCAATTCGTGTTGCTACAGATGGTGGGAAGGGCCTTGGCAACACTGCACAGGAAGCTGTGGAGAGGAGGGGCACAGACAGCGATGCGTCTTCTGCATACGTGGTTCCACCAACGGCGAACAGACTGTCCTCGATGACGTCGACTGCCTTAGTCAGGGCCAGGAGAAACCCGTCACTGAGACAACATGTGAGGTTGACCTTCACTGTGAATCCAATGACAACTGGCAAACAGGCGAATGGTCGCAGGTTAATGCGTGAAGATGATCGTGAAACAGAACTGCAAAATACGCTTCATACTTTGTTATGATATTGGACGAATAATAATGAACATTCAATTTGATCTAACGTGAATTTTCGGGTTGTAGAAAAGAAGTCCACCTGTCGACAGCTCTTGAATATTGCAAAAGCAGGGAGAACCAATTAACAAGGAAAAACATTTGAAAACGAAAGATTTGTTTTGTCTTCTGCAAATTGCTCGAATAATTTTGTTAGATAAGGTTATTTAGCAAATGCAAGTCTGAAAGGGTTTCAGAATGAATGAAAGACAACAAGATTAATTTTGATGGAGTAATATCGATATGTTTCTAAAACGATTTGTGATATCTACCACTACCCCTACTGAACGTTCATACTATACATACCATACCATATATATGAACTATGTATTCCTATATATTTTCCCAAAAGTGTTCCGTTTCGTGTGGCGGTGGGTGGCATACCAGGTCTGTAATCTGCACGAACGCCATCAAACCTTGCGATGTTGCAGGAAAGCCCAGCGACCGAAGACCGTGCTTCTTAGATCAATGCCCTAGGAGACAGGACTTATACAACGCTGTGCCTGAGGCTCCTGAAAGCCGCTCCTACGCAGACGAATCTTCACTAGAACACTCATCAGCGAGCGTGTCCGCTAGCAGTGACTATCCGGCGAATTTCGGCGAGTGGGAGAAGAAGATTGCCATCCAGAAACACGAATCGGCGGCTAATAGCACAAAGCTGCACCCGCCTTTGCCACCTGAAGAAGCGCCTCATAAACCTAACTACGAATTGAACATTACTACCCATGACATTGATGTCATAGAAAAAGAGCGCAAGGATTCTACAATAAACCAACTTCCTGTTGTGCCAGATTCTCCATATGTAAATTTTATCTTATTCCCATCTGCCCTGAACGACAAGCATCCATCGGCTTCAGATACTGCTACTCGTCTGCAACATCAGTCTCAAGAGCCTTCGTTTGGGTGGTCAAAACAACCGTGGCAGCCGGTAGGTCCTGACCTTAAAAGCTTTTTTATTTGTAATTCTAAGCATTTTGACAGGGGCTTTCATGAACACAGACAAGGTGTCAGAGACAAGTGATGGTTATGCCGCAGAGTATGAAACTTGTATTTAAAGCGAAGGTTGAGTTCTGGGAAGAGATGAAAATAATTTGTGAGCGTTATCATTGTATTATGCAAGTGTGGGAGAACATCAGATACAAGATGTTCTGTGACGGGACGGATTTTTATGCCATATGTTCGTGTGGTCCCATATACACCTGTCTGTGTCCAGTGCTTGTAACTTTACCAAGACTGGGCCAAATTTCTTATCATTTTAATGATTCCAGAACCTTGCAGCACACACCAATACTTACATGCTATAGATCAACCTTTTCTGATTGATTCCACAACGTTTCTTTCACAATGCAATCGAATGACCAGAATTCAACTTTATTTAAGCCTATTTTTCTGAGTAAAACGTGGATAATATTTGTTTAGGAAAGAGGAACTAATATGATATGAAATGATACCTTAAATGTCGCCAATATATGTCGATATATCTAACATTGAATAAAAGTCGTTATGTACTACATAAATTGTAAATCATATTTCGGAAGGGTGGAATGAGTGGCCTATTCTTGATAATTGAGAACAGCCATTTTATTAGAAGAAGACCTTAATGTATTTTATCCAAGCAATAATTTCATCACCAAAAAAAAAAAAAAATAAAAAAAATCACTAAAAAATTATATCAACCCTCAATGCAAGGGTTAAGGGTTGGAATCACATACCGGCACCAACGTAAATTGGCAAGACATTTATCCACTTTTGCCACTCTCCACCCAGGTGTAAACAGGTACCTGGCAATGCTGGGGTAATAGGAATTGCAGGGTCCCACATGAAGAGCAGTATTAATAATGATGTTGCTACCCTGGGTAAATAAGACCCCAATTATAATTGTAGTTTATATTATTGTAGGTTATGTGGAAATCACCGTCATCCCTGCCGGTGCTAGGAACATCGTGTTGGATGAATTGGTCTCTTCCCAAAACTACCTGGCCATCAGCAATGCTTCAGGACATGACCTGCTAAACATGGATTGGTATATTGATTGGAGCGGAGAGTATCAGGCAGCAGGGACCATTATCAGCTACGAGAGGATAGACAACAAAGAACGAGTGGAGATCCTTGGTCCCATCAGCGAACCACTGCACATCTATGTAAATAGAGCCTTCTCTGGAATATTATATATGGGATGGCGTTTCATGATAAACGGAAGAGGTTTTCTGATTATTTACAAGCACGGATAAAAGCAATACTAAACAAGACAAACAAACTCTCACTTTTTGAAATTTGTTAAGTAGTTTTGAAATGTGCATTAACAAGACAAAAAAGAAAAGGTTTCTAGAATCATTTTTAAATAGGATACCCCATAATTAATATATGTACCCACCTGACAGGTTGAAAAGAAATATCGCTGTCGGTAAAACTGATTTTGGAGTATCAACAAAAATATTTATAATTGTATGATTCATTGGGGTAGATGTGCTGATCAACTGTTTTATAGTTTGCTTTGTCATTGAGTTTTAAAGCAATAACATTTTTTTTTGTCAGGTATTGATTTCAATAATATATACCCATTGTCCCATTAAATTGTTGAACACATCACGTACGTCGTATCAGAAAATATGTGATAATATTTTCCCCTTACCCTTTTCCAGCTCATATTTCAACGAGCTCAGAACCCTGGCATAACATACAAGTATACCATGCCGAGAGAAGGGAACCAGACTGCTGTCATGCCGCAGTTCTTCTCCTGGGTCTTTACCGATTGGTCCCCGTGTTCTGCATCCTGTGGCATTGGTTAGTTATCCTTATCCCTTGTAGCTATGTTCTGTGAAAACTTTTTAAATCTTGTTTAATTTCTTATATGTTATGTGAAAGCTTTATAGTGCTACCAGAGAGTCATCTCCCTGGTGCTACCGAACAGACAGGTTAGACAGATTCATACACAACGAAGCGAGGAGAGCTTATCAAAATTCTCGCCAACCTTGTAGACGAAAAAATTAAAAGAATCTTGCCAATGCAGTTGATTAGTTTGTGGAAAAAGGACAGAGGACAGCCGAAAAGTTTTCATCAAGTCCTTGACTCGAGCTTCTTCATCGGGAAGAGAAGAGAACATGATCATCTTTTTTGTTCATCTCAAGTAACACCTGAGGGAGTCACGCATTTTAGTCCTTAGTCCTTGTTGATTTCACGACGTTCTGGCATTGCTATCTCATTTTCATTATCTTCATAATTTGATCTGGTGAGAAATTTATTTCGTGTTCTCGATGGCATTCTTCCATAGAGGGTTTTTAGCATATAATAATAATGTGGCTCGTACAGACTTGGACCCTGTTTCATAAAACTTCTTATATGTAACAAATGTTAAACCTCAATGACGAATTTGCTCTCAGCCAATCAAATACAATGATTTCAGTAACTTACAATGTTTATTGTTCTCGTTTCTAAGTTTCAAGAAAACAGGGCCCCGGTTATTCACATTTTGGACTGACCATTGATATCACTATTAAAGCAGTAGCGACTAAGGGTCGAAATCTGGTTATCTGGTTATTGTATAGGCAAACCAAAAACCCGATCAGTAGACTAACTTGGTTTTAAATACATTGATTCACGTCGTACGATGGTCCAAACCTAACTCTTTAATTTATTGAAAAACATTATCATGGACCATCTAGAAGAAAACGATGTGCTAGTGGATACACAACATGGATTTAGAACGAAGAGATCCACCGAAACTCAACTTATCTCAACGATCGATGATGTTGCTAGAATACTTGACCGGGGTAACTCGGTACACATAGCCATCTTGGACTTTGCTAAAGCGTTCGACAAGGTTCCACATGAACGACTACTGGAAAAGCTTCACTACTACGGGATTAGACACCATACACATCGGTGGCTTAGGAATTTCTTGACATTCCGAACCCAGAGAGTGACTTGTGAAGGTAGTCCGTCATCAACAAGCAAAGTTCTATCCGGGGTGCCCCAGGGGACAGTGCTCGGGCCGTTACTGTTCCTGATGTATATCAATGACCTTCCAGCCCTGCTGAAAAGCCAGACCAGACTATTCGCAGATGACTGTTTGGTATACAAGGAATTAGAGAACGAGAGGCACACAGACTCCTTACAGGCGGATCTTACATCTCTGGAGTCGTGGCAAGATAGGTGGAACATGAAGTTCAACGCGTCCAAGTGTTCAGTGATGATTATCTCGAATAAGAAAAAACCTCTGACAAGGGATTATATCTTCTGTGGACAATACTTACAACAGACAAGCTCTCATCCTTATCTGGGAGTGGAAATAGACAGTAAACTGACGTGGGCGAACCATGTTGACAACACAGCCATGAAAGCCAACCGCACGTTAGGATTCCTCAGGAGAAACCTATGGTTTTGCCCAGGGAATGTGAAAGCCATCGCATACACGACCCTAGTGAGACCAGTGTTAGAATACGCAAGCTGTGCCTGGGACCCATACAGGATAGGGCAGATTAATAAACTGGATGCAGTTCAAAGGAGGGCGGCACGCTTCGTAACAGGAAACTACCAAAGGGACAGCAGTGTCACACAAATGCAGACCTGCCTTGAATGGGAATCACTTGAACGCAGGAGGGAAAAGAGTCGTTTGGTTATGCTGTACAAAATCTACAAGGGAAAGGTGGGCCTAAAGCAAGAGGACTACATACAAGTATCAACAGGATCAAGGTTAAGAAGAAACCACCATCACTCAATAGAAATCCCCTTTGCCAGAAAGGACGTATACAAATACTCCTTTTTTCCAAGAACTGGACGAGCATGGAATACCCTCGACCAGCAGTCTGTAATAGCTACATCAGTTGATAATTTCAGAAACCCACTCTAGCATGCATCACCTGCTATACAAGTTAGCGACATGCGGAATACCGCCCTGCTGACTCCAATTTCAGAAGGTTCAGAAGGTTATGCATTATTGTTGTAAGTTTTTTTTTTTTAAATTTTGAATGAATTTTTGTGTTTTTTATTGCGATATCAGGTTATCAGCGTTCGAGTGTGATCTGCAAAGAGTTGATAGCCGGACTGGTTGATGACCGATACTGTGAAGGCATAAAACCAGACGACATGCAGCAGACTTGCAATGAACAACAGTGCCCTGCCACGTGAGTTTGTTTTTCACCCAGTAGGATCATTCAGCAAAATCTTTCATTTTCTCCAGCCATTGAATAAAATCTGCATTCCATTTAGCGTGAAGGCGAGGCTACGCCTATGTGAGGCCCATCGGCCTATATAATGTTGCAGTCAGTAACATTTCTTGTTCCCACCATATTTTATTTGCGGATTACATTTTTAATAATCTCCAAACACTATGGATGATAAAAATTGTATGCCTTGTCTTCCTGGACAAAGTCTTGTTTTGGAAGATCAAGTTTTGAAACGTATCACTTGATTCCTTCTGTTAGTACTCAACAGGCCTCTGAGGTTTTGTGTAACAAACATACATTTCAAAATTGTACTAAAGTTATCAAAAGACATGTCCAGGTTCCCACGTAATAGTTCTTGACCAATTCGTGTTGCTACAGATGGTGGGAAGGGCCTTGGCAACACTGCACAGGAAGCTGTGGAGAGGAGGGGCACAGACAGCGATGCGTCTTCTGCATACGTGGTTCCACCAACGGCGAACAGACTGTCCTCGATGACGTCGACTGCCTTAGTCAGGGCCAGGAGAAACCCGTCACTGAGACAACATGTGAGGTTGACCTTCACTGTGAATCCAATGACAACTGGCAAACAGGCGAATGGTCGCAGGTTAATGCGTGAAGATGATCGTGAAACAGAACTGCAAAATACGCTTCATAATATTTTGTTATGATATTGGACGAATAATAATGAACATTCAATTTGATCTAACGTGAATTTTCGGGTTGTAGAAAAGAAGTCCACCTGTCGACAGCTCTTGAATATTGCAAAAGCAGGGAGAACCAATTAACAAGGAAAAACATTTGAAAACGAAAGATTTGTTTTGTCTTCTGCAAATTGCTCGAATAATTTTGTTAGATAAGGTTATTTAGCAAATGCAAGTCTGAAAGGGTTTCAGAATGAATGAAAGACAACAAGATTAATTTTGATGGAGTAATATCGATATGTTTCTAAAACGATTTGTGATATCTACCACTACCCCTACTGAACGTTCATACTATACATACCATACCATATATATGAACTATGTATTCCTATATATTTTCCCAAAAGTGTTCCGTTTCGTGTGGCGGTGGGTGGCATACCAGGTCTGTAATCTGCACGAACGCCATCAAACCTTGCGATGTTGCAGGAAAGCCCAGCGACCGAAGACCGTGCTTCTTAGATCAATGCCCTAGGAGACAGGACTTATACAACGCTGTGCCTGAGGCTCCTGAAAGCCGCTCCTACGCAGACGAATCTTCACTAGAACACTCATCAGCGAGCGTGTCCGCTAGCAGTGACTATCCGGCGAATTTCGGCGAGTGGGAGAAGAAGATTGCCATCCAGAAACACGAATCGGCGGCTAATAGCACAAAGCTGCACCCGCCTTTGCCACCTGAAGAAGCGCCTCATAAACCTAACTACGAATTGAACATTACTACCCATGACATTGATGTCATAGAAAAAGAGCGCAAGGATTCTACAATAAACCAACTTCCTGTTGTGCCAGATTCTCCATATGTAAATTTTATCTTATTCCCATCTGCCCTGAACGACAAGCATCCATCGGCTTCAGATACTGCTACTCGTCTGCAACATCAGTCTCAAGAGCCTTCGTTTGGGTGGTCAAAACAACCGTGGCAGCCGGTAGGTCCTGACCTTAAAAGCTTTTTTATTTGTAATTCTAAGCATTTTGACAGGGGCTTTCATGAACACAGACAAGGTGTCAGAGACAAGTGATGGTTATGCCGCAGAGTATGAAACTTGTATTTAAAGCGAAGGTTGAGTTCTGGGAAGAGATGAAAATAATTTGTGAGCGTTATCATTGTATTATGCAAGTGTGGGAGAACATCAGATACAAGATGTTCTGTGACGGGACGGATTTTTATGCCATATGTTCGTGTGGTCCCATATACACCTGTCTGTGTCCAGTGCTTGTAACTTTACCAAGACTGGGCCAAATTTCTTATCATTTTAATGATTCCAGAACCTTGCAGCACACACCAATACTTACATGCTATAGATCAACCTTTTCTGATTGATTCCACAACGTTTCTTTCACAATGCAATCGAATGACCAGAATTCAACTTTATTTAAGCCTATTTTTCTGAGTAAAACGTGGATAATATTTGTTTAGGAAAGAGGAACTAATATGATATGAAATGATACCTTAAATGTCGCCAATATATGTCGATATATCTAACATTGAATAAAAGTCGTTATGTACTACATAAATTGTAAATCATATTTCGGAAGGGTGGAATGAGTGGCCTATTCTTGATAATTGAGAACAGCCATTTTATTAGAAGAAGACCTTAATGTATTTTATCCAAGCAATAATTTCATCACCAAAAAAAAAAAAAAAATAAAAAAAATCACTAAAAAATTATATCAACCCTCAATGCAAGGGTTAAGGGTTGGAATCACATACCGGCACCAACGTAAATTGGCAAGACATTTATCCACTTTTGCCACTCTCCACCCAGGTGTAAACAGGTACCTGGCAATGCTGGGGTAATAGGAATTGCAGGGTCCCACATGAAGAGCAGTATTAATAATGATGTTGCTACCCTGGGTAAATAAGACCCCAATTATAATTGTAGTTTATATTATTGTAGGTTATGTGGAAATCACCGTCATCCCTGCCGGTGCTAGGAACATCGTGTTGGATGAATTGGTCTCTTCCCAAAACTACCTGGCCATCAGCAATGCTTCAGGACATGACCTGCTAAACATGGATTGGTATATTGATTGGAGCGGAGAGTATCAGGCAGCAGGGACCATTATCAGCTACGAGAGGATAGACAACAAAGAACGAGTGGAGATCCTTGGTCCCATCAGCGAACCACTGCACATCTATGTAAATAGAGCCTTCTCTGGAATATTATATATGGGATGGCGTTTCATGATAAACGGAAGAGGTTTTCTGATTATTTACAAGCACGGATAAAAGCAATACTAAACAAGACAAACAAACTCTCACTTTTTGAAATTTGTTAAGTAGTTTTGAAATGTGCATTAACAAGACAAAAAAGAAAAGGTTTCTAGAATCATTTTTAAATAGGATACCCCATAATTAATATATGTACCCACCTGACAGGTTGAAAAGAAATATCGCTGTCGGTAAAACTGATTTTGGAGTATCAACAAAAATATTTATAATTGTATGATTCATTGGGGTAGATGTGCTGATCAACTGTTTTATAGTTTGCTTTGTCATTGAGTTTTAAAGCAATAACATTTTTTTTTGTCAGGTATTGATTTCAATAATATATACCCATTGTCCCATTAAATTGTTGAACACATCACGTACGTCGTATCAGAAAATATGTGATAATATTTTCCCCTTACCCTTTTCCAGCTCATATTTCAACGAGCTCAGAACCCTGGCATAACATACAAGTATACCATGCCGAGAGAAGGGAACCAGACTGCTGTCATGCCGCAGTTCTTCTCCTGGGTCTTTACCGATTGGTCCCCGTGTTCTGCATCCTGTGGCATTGGTTAGTTATCCTTATCCCTTGTAGCTATGTTCTGTGAAAACTTTTTAAATCTTGTTTAATTTCTTATATGTTATGTGAAAGCTTTATAGTGCTACCAGAGAGTCATCTCCCTGGTGCTACCGAACAGACAGGTTAGACAGATTCATACACAACGAAGCGAGGAGAGCTTATCAAAATTCTCGCCAACCTTGTAGACGAAAAAATTAAAAGAATCTTGCCAATGCAGTTGATTAGTTTGTGGAAAAAGGACAGAGGACAGCCGAAAAGTTTTCATCAAGTCCTTGACTCGAGCTTCTTCATCGGGAAGAGAAGAGAACATGATCATCTTTTTTGTTCATCTCAAGTAACACCTGAGGGAGTCACGCATTTTAGTCCTTAGTCCTTGTTGATTTCACGACGTTCTGGCATTGCTATCTCATTTTCATTATCTTCATAATTTGATCTGGTGAGAAATTTATTTCGTGTTCTCGATGGCATTCTTCCATAGAGGGTTTTTAGCATATAATAATAATGTGGCTCGTACAGACTTGGACCCTGTTTCATAAAACTTCTTATATGTAACAAATGTTAAACCTCAATGACGAATTTGCTCTCAGCCAATCAAATACAATGATTTCAGTAACTTACAATGTTTATTGTTCTCGTTTCTAAGTTTCAAGAAAACAGGGCCCCGGTTATTCACATTTTGGACTGACCATTGATATCACTATTAAAGCAGTAGCGACTAAGGGTCGAAATCTGGTTATCTGGTTATTGTATAGGCAAACCAAAAACCCGATCAGTAGACTAACTTGGTTTTAAATACATTGATTCACGTCGTACGATGGTCCAAACCTAACTCTTTAATTTATTGAAAAACATTATCATGGACCATCTAGAAGAAAACGATGTGCTAGTGGATACACAACATGGATTTAGAACGAAGAGATCCACCGAAACTCAACTTATCTCAACGATCGATGATGTTGCTAGAATACTTGACCGGGGTAACTCGGTACACATAGCCATCTTGGACTTTGCTAAAGCGTTCGACAAGGTTCCACATGAACGACTACTGGAAAAGCTTCACTACTACGGGATTAGACACCATACACATCGGTGGCTTAGGAATTTCTTGACATTCCGAACCCAGAGAGTGACTTGTGAAGGTAGTCCGTCATCAACAAGCAAAGTTCTATCCGGGGTGCCCCAGGGGACAGTGCTCGGGCCGTTACTGTTCCTGATGTATATCAATGACCTTCCAGCCCTGCTGAAAAGCCAGACCAGACTATTCGCAGATGACTGTTTGGTATACAAGGAATTAGAGAACGAGAGGCACACAGACTCCTTACAGGCGGATCTTACATCTCTGGAGTCGTGGCAAGATAGGTGGAACATGAAGTTCAACGCGTCCAAGTGTTCAGTGATGATTATCTCGAATAAGAAAAAACCTCTGACAAGGGATTATATCTTCTGTGGACAATACTTACAACAGACAAGCTCTCATCCTTATCTGGGAGTGGAAATAGACAGTAAACTGACGTGGGCGAACCATGTTGACAACACAGCCATGAAAGCCAACCGCACGTTAGGATTCCTCAGGAGAAACCTATGGTTTTGCCCAGGGAATGTGAAAGCCATCGCATACACGACCCTAGTGAGACCAGTGTTAGAATACGCAAGCTGTGCCTGGGACCCATACAGGATAGGGCAGATTAATAAACTGGATGCAGTTCAAAGGAGGGCGGCACGCTTCGTAACAGGAAACTACCAAAGGGACAGCAGTGTCACACAAATGCAGACCTGCCTTGAATGGGAATCACTTGAACGCAGGAGGGAAAAGAGTCGTTTGGTTATGCTGTACAAAATCTACAAGGGAAAGGTGGGCCTAAAGCAAGAGGACTACATACAAGTATCAACAGGATCAAGGTTAAGAAGAAACCACCATCACTCAATAGAAATCCCCTTTGCCAGAAAGGACGTATACAAATACTCCTTTTTTCCAAGAACTGGACGAGCATGGAATACCCTCGACCAGCAGTCTGTAATAGCTACATCAGTTGATAATTTCAGAAACCCACTCTAGCATGCATCACCTGCTATACAAGTTAGCGACATGCGGAATACCGCCCTGCTGACTCCAATTTCAGAAGGTTCAGAAGGTTATGCATTATTGTTGTAAGTTTTTTTTTTTTAAATTTTGAATGAATTTTTGTGTTTTTTATTGCGATATCAGGTTATCAGCGTTCGAGTGTGATCTGCAAAGAGTTGATAGCCGGACTGGTTGATGACCGATACTGTGAAGGCATAAAACCAGACGACATGCAGCAGACTTGCAATGAACAACAGTGCCCTGCCACGTGAGTTTGTTTTTCACCCAGTAGGATCATTCAGCAAAATCTTTCATTTTCTCCAGCCATTGAATAAAATCTGCATTCCATTTAGCGTGAAGGCGAGGCTACGCCTATGTGAGGCCCATCGGCCTATATAATGTTGCAGTCAGTAACATTTCTTGTTCCCACCATATTTTATTTGCGGATTACATTTTTAATAATCTCCAAACACTATGGATGATAAAAATTGTATGCCTTGTCTTCCTGGACAAAGTCTTGTTTTGGAAGATCAAGTTTTGAAACGTATCACTTGATTCCTTCTGTTAGTACTCAACAGGCCTCTGAGGTTTTGTGTAACAAACATACATTTCAAAATTGTACTAAAGTTATCAAAAGACATGTCCAGGTTCCCACGTAATAGTTCTTGACCAATTCGTGTTGCTACAGATGGTGGGAAGGGCCTTGGCAACACTGCACAGGAAGCTGTGGAGAGGAGGGGCACAGACAGCGATGCGTCTTCTGCATACGTGGTTCCACCAACGGCGAACAGACTGTCCTCGATGACGTCGACTGCCTTAGTCAGGGCCAGGAGAAACCCGTCACTGAGACAACATGTGAGGTTGACCTTCACTGTGAATCCAATGACAACTGGCAAACAGGCGAATGGTCGCAGGTTAATGCGTGAAGATGATCGTGAAACAGAACTGCAAAATACGCTTCATAATATTTTGTTATGATATTGGACGAATAATAATGAACATTCAATTTGATCTAACGTGAATTTTCGGGTTGTAGAAAAGAAGTCCACCTGTCGACAGCTCTTGAATATTGCAAAAGCAGGGAGAACCAATTAACAAGGAAAAACATTTGAAAACGAAAGATTTGTTTTGTCTTCTGCAAATTGCTCGAATAATTTTGTTAGATAAGGTTATTTAGCAAATGCAAGTCTGAAAGGGTTTCAGAATGAATGAAAGACAACAAGATTAATTTTGATGGAGTAATATCGATATGTTTCTAAAACGATTTGTGATATCTACCACTACCCCTACTGAACGTTCATACTATACATACCATACCATATATATGAACTATGTATTCCTATATATTTTCCCAAAAGTGTTCCGTTTCGTGTGGCGGTGGGTGGCATACCAGGTCTGTAATCTGCACGAACGCCATCAAACCTTGCGATGTTGCAGGAAAGCCCAGCGACCGAAGACCGTGCTTCTTAGATCAATGCCCTAGGAGACAGGACTTATACAACGCTGTGCCTGAGGCTCCTGAAAGCCGCTCCTACGCAGACGAATCTTCACTAGAACACATCAGCATCAGCATCAGCGAGCGTGTCCGCTAGCAGTGACTATCCGGCGAATTTCGGCGAGTGGGAGAAGAAGATTGCCATCCAGAAACACGAATCGGCGGCTAATAGCACAAAGCTGCACCCGCCTTTGCCACCTGAAGAAGCGCCTCATAAACCTAACTACGAATTGAACATTACTACCCATGACATTGATGTCATAGAAAAAGAGCGCAAGGATTCTACAATAAACCAACTTCCTGTTGTGCCAGATTCTCCATATGTAAATTTTATCTTATTCCCATCTGCCCTGAACGACAAGCATCCATCGGCTTCAGATACTGCTACTCGTCTGCAACATCAGTCTCAAGAGCCTTCGTTTGGGTGGTCAAAACAACCGTGGCAGCCGGTAGGTCCTGACCTTAAAAGCTTTTTTATTTGTAATTCTAAGCATTTTGACAGGGGCTTTCATGAACACAGACAAGGTGTCAGAGACAAGTGATGGTTATGCCGCAGAGTATGAAACTTGTATTTAAAGCGAAGGTTGAGTTCTGGGAAGAGATGAAAATAATTTGTGAGCGTTATCATTGTATTATGCAAGTGTGGGAGAACATCAGATACAAGATGTTCTGTGACGGGACGGATTTTTATGCCATATGTTCGTGTGGTCCCATATACACCTGTCTGTGTCCAGTGCTTGTAACTTTACCAAGACTGGGCCAAATTTCTTATCATTTTAATGATTCCAGAACCTTGCAGCACACACCAATACTTACATGCTATAGATCAACCTTTTCTGATTGATTCCACAACGTTTCTTTCACAATGCAATCGAATGACCAGAATTCAACTTTATTTAAGCCTATTTTTCTGAGTAAAACGTGGATAATATTTGTTTAGGAAAGAGGAACTAATATGATATGAAATGATACCTTAAATGTCGCCAATATATGTCGATATATCTAACATTGAATAAAAGTCGTTATGTACTACATAAATTGTAAATCATATTTCGGAAGGGTGGAATGAGTGGCCTATTCTTCACCTTTTCACAACTTTGTTGGTCCTATGTCAAGCGTTTCACCAAGCTGTAGGTTAACAAACAATGTGATAGCTAAATGGGGGGGGGGGGGGTATGTTTCCCACTTCTACATTCCTCTGATGCACACCCATTATGTAATTATCATCTCAATTTCTTCCACAGTGCTCTGTAACTTGTGGTGATGGTATCCAACAACGAATAGTGGAGTGTGTTGATAGAATCACGGGCCAGAGGACACCAGGATGCTCCCAAGAAAATCAACCCGTTTCATTGCAGTCTTGTAACTTGGGCATTTGTCCTCGAGGTATTATTAACAATGCATATGACTGTTATAATCATATATTAATTGCTCTAGTTGCTTACTAACAAGCATTTATGCTTTCTTAGCAGTCAGGTAAAATAACCTCCACTGCCACTACAACTACCCTAATCATTGATAACTAAATTGTAAGCAAAATAAGAGAAGACGGAGAAACGCCGTTCTCTTTGACGGCGCACTCGTCAACCATCGTCAGTGACCTGCATTCAACCATTCACCAACAAACTAGCTGACGTTGCAGCTTTCTCCTCTACTGCTCCCAAACTCTGGAAAACGCTCCCACCTAACTTAAAGATGAAGTTGAGTTCTGGTCATGCGATTGCATTGCGAAAGAAATGGTGTGGAATCGATCAGAAGAGGTTGATCATCTAGCATATAAAAATTTGTGTGTATTGCAAGGTCTGGAATCATCAAAATGATAAGAAATTTGGCCAAGTCTTGGTAAAGTTACAAACACTGTACACAGAAAGATGTATATGGGACTGCACGAACACGTGGCGTAAAAAGCCGGCCCCCGATTTTTACAATGTTACATGCATATTTAGAATATGAAGGCATTTGAAGAGCCATGCTTTTCAGGGAACATGTCTCATCTGATGTTCTTCCACACTTGCATAATAAGAAAGAGTAACGCTCACAAATTATTTTTCACCTCTTCCCAGAACTCAACCTTCTCTTCAAATAATCACCAACTTTAGACGCCTTGACGCCTTGTTTCCAGTGATAAAAAAGCGAAATAATAAATCCCATCTATTACTCTTGCTATTAATTAAATGTTTTGTGCATAAGGGTTTGTGGATAGTACAATTTTAATATAAATATTTTTATTTTCTGTTAACAGTTTGCAGGAATACTCTCAGCACCACCATGTGTTTGATGATCGTCCAATCAGGAAGCTGCTTTCAAACACACTTTCGTGAAAGATGCTGCAGAACCTGCGCCGAAGTCAGATAGCGTTTCCATTTGCGCATGTAATCTGTTGAACTTTGGACAGTACTGAATGCTATATGTCTCCTACCGCTTAACCTAGTTAGATAAAAGCGCCAATATGAAAATGGCGGCTGAGAAATTTGACTCAACAGATCCAAGACCTTTTGCAAAACATTATTTTCAGTTGTAAATTATTTTTATGTTTAATCCTTACCCGTTCAAACCTTTGATTTGTTTATATATACTGTTTTTGAGAATTGTTTTTTTAAATATATTATACTGTTGTTGAGAATTGCGTATTTAATTTGAACTACAATGCCGCTGTACTGATTTCTTGTGTCAAGTGACAGAGTTTTCCGCGAGATAATGATATACCCCCACCCTCAAACCCCACACAAATCACATGCACATACACAAGCACATATATACTTTTTTTCAATAGTTTTTTTGTATTGATTCCAAACAATACAAATTAATTTTAAAAAATAAAGTACAGTTGTTTTTCCTTGACATGAATTCAAAACATTTACATTACATAAATTGTACAATTGATGAAAACAAAAATGAAATCAGTTGTAACATAAAACATATAACCCCATCCGACCAAACACAATACTACCCCCCTCCCCATCATGCGACACACATATCACCCGACCACACTTCCACCACACACTGTTCCTAGCCCCCTCAGAATTCCCAAATTGGAGCGACAGACAAACAGAAACAATCTATTTAAAACATTTAAAACAAAATCATTTAAACGAGGCTACAATAGCCATAATAGTCCAGAGTAAAAAGTTCATGAAAAGTTTACTTGTTCCCACTTCTGTAAATGTAAGGCCAATTTACCTGCCCTCCCTGCGATATTTTTTCTTCTTCCCTAAATTCTAACAGTTGTTTTTTAAACTCCCCCAAAGACAATATTACGGACTTTCCCCTGCATCTACATATCCAATATTTCAATGCAAAAATAATTGTATTAAACATTTTTAATCGTGGGGAGATACCGGCAACCCTAAATGAATATCTATCCAGTCGATAGACCTTAATCCCCTAAGCTCAAAATTAGCTATTACATTTTGCCATAATATTTGAACATGTACACACTCCCAAAACAAGTGTAAATATGTTTCTATCTTTTGCTTACAAAATGAGCACAAGTTATCTACAACAAAGCCGAATCTGAATAAATGTTGTCTAGTATATATTGCTCCATTAAGCAGTTTATACTGAATTTCTCTTAGTCTGTTAACAAGAGTAACTTTCCTAGGCCTACTAAATATCTCCCTACATACCTTATTTGAAAAATCTGAAAATTCCCGTCCATCATGAATCTTCAAGACAAATAAATTTTGTAACTTCTCTATAAAATATTCATAAACCTTCCTCGATAATACATCTCTGAGGAGCTTCACAGTACTGTTAAACTGCATTAAAATATCATACTCTTTTACATCCACTAAACTCCAGTTATCCTTTTTTCCGCTTCTCAAAATAGCTTCCCCAATATTCCATACATTAACAATTTTGTTTCCTTTTTTGAAAATGAGATATTGCCCGCATGCCATTTTCAGCAAAAATATCTTGAATTAAAATGATATTGTGTGTAAACAACTCCTCATCAAAAATCATTTTCTTATCAATAAGAAATCTTTATTGTTAAAAATAATTGGATTATTCTTTTCTTCAAAATTCCTACAACCTTCTAACTCTTCCCATGCTTTGATCATTTCTAAATAGAACTTAGGTACTTTGAAACTGAATAACTTGGAATCATAGTTACACAAAAAAATAAATCTACCCCCTACCATCTTAAAGCAGAAATCAAGGTATAGCTTCCATCTCATAGATTTTTCTCCGTACAATAGTCTTTTCACCCACATACACGTACGCCGCAGCCTCCCACACGCTCCCTCACACACAGACATATGTGTTTGGATGATAGAAAATCCATACTAATGTACTGTATATGATATTGTATGGTCGCATGTTGTTTGTATTGTTTCAGGAGGCAATTGATTGGAATTTATGGACATTTGCTTCTTTAGATTTTGCCTCCTCACTGATTCTTGAGTATAATGTACACGTGAAGATAAGTTATATATGATTGAATTTAAAAATATCTACGGTTTCAAAAACCTTAAACTTTGTGTTTGTTATTTTGTGTAAATTAAGTGGATTAACATGTTAACCGAACCATTAGGAACGTCATGGTCATACTCATTTTGACACCCACACTCTGACGCACATCCACACTCTTACATGTACATAAGTACATGTATATAAACATTTATTAAATGTAATGATCTTGCATAAGTTCATTCTTTAGCCTTTCCAACTTTTTAACCGCAGGTTTAAATAACGCATGTTTAGAATACACCATTTTAGACTTAAAGGGCAACCCAATCTTTGTAATAGGTTCATTTGTATGAAATCAGAAAAATGGGAGAAACAAAAGAGCGAAAGTTTGAAGTAAATCGGACGAATAATAAGAAAGTTATTAATGTTTTAAAGAAATTGCAGTTTAGTCATTTTGTGTATTGAAACAAATGAGGAAGTTGCCCGGCACTGCGTCACAGTGACATTTCTGATTCAGTCGATTCGAAGTACCCATACGTATAATGATTACAACTTGTTAAAAATCCATTATTGTCTTACTATTCGTCCGATTTCATTCAATATTTTACCAGTCTACCTCTCTGATTTTTGAATTTCTTTGAGTGTAGTGGTCTATTGTTTGGATTATCTTTTAACAATGGAAGGTTA